CAAGGACGGTTTGGTCTGTGCTAGAAGGACTGACACCCCATGGGGCACCCCTGTTGCATAGGTTGGAAGGAGTGATATTGCGATTGCCTGTTCCAAGGCCACTTACTATTGTGGTGTTGGGAGGGTCCCCATCCCATTCTGTGAGCTGTCAGATGTGGATGCCTTGTGGATGGTATCAAGTTTTTCATCCATTTTAGCGTGGAAAAGTCCGGTCCCATCAAATGGCATCTTTTCCACTCATTGCTTTGTCTCCTGTGGGAGGTTACCAGCTCCTAGCAATGTATGCTGTCTGAAAGCCACTGCACCAACAAGCGCCCTGGAGTCACAGTCCACATGATGTCTTGCTGTTGCCAACTGTTGCTTGAAAAGCTGCATTGCCTCACCAATTAAGAGTCTGGCCAGGTCCCTTTGTTGGTCAGGGAGGAATGCAGCAAGCAACTCCATCTTCTGCCATAGGAAGTATTGATAACAGGCCATAGCGGCCTTGTAGTGGGAGATTCTAAGTCTGAGTCCCATGGCTGAGTAGATTCAGCGAGACATCATATCAATCACCCATCGCAATTGGCCAATACACTGTGCTCTCTAGTTTGTCAACCCTGTGTGAATTCAATGACAACCGAGTTCGGATGGGGATGCTGCAGCAAGAATGGAATGTCCTGTTCCCTGACCTTATACATCGACTCAAGGGGCCAGGAGGTCAGATGTGGATGATTTGGTACCTTCCGTGGTTCCATCATGGTCTGGTGTAAGGTGGAGATCAGAGGTAGAGTCACCAGAATCACATCCTCCATCCTGATGACATCACAGATGTTGTCCTGCTCTGCATCCATGTGCTGTTGGATGTCAATCCCTAAAGAGGTCAACACATGGACCAGCAGTTTGGAGAAGCATTCCATACTCTCTCCAGGTGATCCCAGGTCTTGACTCAAAACCATAAGGTCAAATGATGTGGATGCCTGCTCTGTTTCTTCTAAATCAGAGAGGTAAGCGGCGCTCATTGAGAATGATTGATCCAGAGATCCCTCCTCCATCAGATGAACTGTGGCAGTCATTTCTCCTCGATTTGTGGATGGTAAGTCTGTGGGTTGTTGAAGTCTGCGGAGGTGGGGGTGGGTAAGGGTATCCGTAGGGTGGGAGGTATTCCCACAGATATCCATGTCCATAGCCTCTGTATGGAGGAGGTATCCAGTATTGGCTCCTTCCATACCAAGGAAGCTCAGGTTCAAAGGGAGGAGGTGGTCTTTGAATCGATTCTGCTGAGGTCTCTGGTGACAAGTGTCTGTACAAGGTTGGAGTGGGTGGATGTATAGGCTCCTGGTGCCCTTGAATGGACTGTACTGAATGGTCAGATGGTGCCAGAGAGTGCATGGGGGACTCTCAGATCTCTCCATCCGGGATGGAAGCCCAGACCATTGGTTCTGGGGCCTGAGTCAATGCCAAATAGCTGCTTCTTTGTGAGGTTATAAGATGGATAAAACATATGTGTCCAGAGCCAGAGGGTCAGACTATATGGCCCAGGAGGATCCTTCTGAATCACTCAGTTTCTATGTTTCTATGTCTTCAAACACTTTTCAATATTACTGATATACATACACTCCTGAATTATTTACCTGCTTCCTGGAAGTCAATACACTGTTGTTACAAATAGATTTGCAACACACCCTTTGCCCCTTCATGGATCACTGCCTTGATGTGGGGAAGGGACTTGGTAGCTCAATGAAGCTATGAGCTATGCCATGCAGGGGCACCCAAGATGGACAGGTCATAGCAGAGAGCTCTGACAAAAGCTGATCCACTGGAGAAGGAAATTGCAACCCACTCCAGTACCCTTGTCATGAAAATGCCATGGACAGTATCAACAGGCAAAGAGATATGATGCTGGAAGAAGAGCCCCTCAGGTCAGAAGGTGTCCAATGTGCTACTGGGGAAGGCAGAGGGTTAGTGCTAGTTGCGCCTGAAAGAATGAAGCGACTGGGTCAAAGCCGAAAGGACACTCAGTTGTGAATGTATCTGGTGGTGAAAGGAAAGTCTGATGCTGTAAAGAACAATACAGCATACGAACCTGGAATGTAAGATCTATGAATCAAGGTAAGCTGGACGTGATCAAACGTGAGATGATACGACTGAACATCGACATCTTGGGAATGAATGAACTAAAATGGACAGGAATAAGTGAATTTAATTCAGATGACCATCAGGTATACTACTGTGGGGAAGAATACCTCACTCTTCCAAGAACCCAAGAGATGACTCTACACATTGACTTCACCAGACGGTCAACACAGAAATCAGATTGACTATGTGCTCTGCAGCCAAAGATGGAGAAGCTCTATACACTCAGTAAAAACAAGACCAGGAGCTGACTGTGGCTCAGATGATGAGCTTCTTGTTGCAAAAAAAAAAAAAAAAATGTAGGCTTAAATTGAAGAAAGTAGGGAAAAGCAACTAAGCCACTCAGGTATGACCTAAATCATATTCCGGATGAATATACAGTAGAGATGACAAATAGATTTAAGGAATTAGATCTGATAGACAGAGTGCCTGAAAAACTATCGACGGAGGTTCACAACATTGTACAAGAGGTAGCAACTAAAGCCATCCCAAAGAAAAAGAAATGCAAGAAAGCAAAATGGCTGTCTGAGGAAGCTTTACAAATAGCTGAGGAAAGAAGGGAAGCGAAAGGCAAGGGAGAAAGAGAAAGATACAAACAATTGAACGCAGAATTCCAGAGACCACCTAGAAGAGATAAGAAGGCCTTCTTAAATGAACTGTGTAAAGAAATAAAAGAAAACAATAGAATACGGAAGACTAGAGATCTCTTCAAGAAAATTGGAGATATGAAGGGAATGTTTCATGCAAAGATGGGCATGATAAAGGACAACAATGGGAGGGACCTAACAGAAGCAGAGAAGATTAAGAAGATGTGGCAAGATTACACAGAAGAACTATACAAGAAAGACCTTAATGTTCCTGATAACCACGATGGGGTGATCTCTGACCTTGAGCCAGACATCCTGGAATGTTAATCAAGTGGGTCTTAGGAAGTCTTACCAACAACAAAGCTAGTGGAGGAGACAGTATTTCAGCTGAGCTACTCAAAATCCTAAAAGATGATGCAGTTAAAGTGCTACACTCAACATGCCAGCAAATTTGGAAAACTCAGCAGTGGCCACAGAATTGGAAAAGGTCAGTTTACATTCCAATCACAAAGAAGGGCGATGCCAAAGAATGTTCAAACTACCGCACCATTGCACTCATTTCACAGGCTAGCAAAGTTATGCTCAAAATCCTACAAGCTAGGCTCCAGCAGTATGTAGACCGAGAACTACCAGAAGTACAGGCAGGGTTTCAAAGAGGCAGAGGAAGTAGAGATCAAATTGTCAACATAAGCTTGATCATGGAGAAAGCTAGGGAGTTCCAGAAAAACATCTACTTCTGCTTCATTGAGTATGCTAAAGCCTCTGATTGTGTGGATCACAACAATTGTAGCAAGTTCTTAAAGAGATGGGAGTATCAGACCATCTTATTTGCCTCTTGAGAAACCTAAATGCGGGTCAAGAAGCAACAGTGAGAATTGGACATGAAACTATTGATTGATTCAAAACTGGGAAAGGAGTACGGCAAGGCTGTATACTGTCACCCTGCCTATTTAACCTATATGCAGAGCACATCATGTGAAAGGTGGGGCTAGACGAATCACAAGTTGGAATTAAGATTGCCTGGAGAAAGATCAACAGCCTCAGATATGCAGGTGATACCACTCTCATGGCAGAAAGTGAAGAGGAATTAAAGAGTCTCTTGATGCGGGTGAAATAGGAAAGAGCAAAAGCTTGCTTGAAACTCAACATTAAGAAAACTAAGATCATGGCATCCGGTCCTATCACTTCCTGGCAAATAGATGGGGAAGAAATGGAGGTAGTGACAGCTTTTATTTTCCTGGACTCCAAGATCACTGCAGATGGGGACCACAGCCAAGAAATTAAAAGACATTTGCTCCTTGGGAGGAGAGCTATGGTAAATCTAGACAGCATACTAAAAGCAGAGACATCACCCCACTGACAAAAGTGCATATAGTCAAGGCTATGGTTTTCCCATTTGCAATGTATGGCTGTGAAAGCTGGACCATAAGGAAGGCTGAGCATCAAAGAACTGAGTTCCTCTGAATTGTGATGCTGGAGAAGACTCCTGCAAGTCCCTTAGACCGCAAGGAGATCAAACCAGTCAGTCTTAGAGGAGGTCAACCCTGACTGCTCTTTGGAAAGCCAGATACTGAAGATGAAACTCATCTACTTTGGCCACCTAATGAGAAGGAAGGACTCACTGGAGAAGACCCTAATGCTGGGAACAATAGATGGCGAAAGAAGAACGGGATGGCAGAGGATGTGGTGGATAGATGGAGTTACTGAAGCAGCTAGTGTGAGTTTAGGTGGACTCTGGGGAATGGTGGAGGAGAGCCTGGAGGAATGTTGTCCATGGGGTTGTGATGGGTCGGGCACGACTTTGTAAACAACATAACACACTCTTTTGACAGCTAAAAGTATGAAATAAAAGCACTGGAAAGATAAGCATTCACCTCTTATAATGCAATGGATTGACTTATTCATGGTTTCAATACCACATCTGAATACCTGGTAATATAGATGCCATTTGCAAATGGATACATATATGGATATCTGCCTTTGTTGAACTTTATTTACAATTCTTAGATAGCTGTACTTTCCTATGGGTGCATAGCACTCAACATATTCAAACGGATGTAGTTATATATCTTTTTTTCTTGATTGTTTTGTTAAAATAATATAGTAAAATTAATTTCAAAAATGTAATAAACAATTCAAGAAACAACTTCTGGAGTCTTTCCACAACAAACCAAAGAGTCACATTTTCATGCCTCTTAGGAGACATGGGTGTGACCCCTCCCCCACCAAAAAAAAAAAGGACTACAAGAAGAAAAGACAATATCCTGACAAAAGGAAGACCTCAATGTAGATTTGACTTACTGCAGCAAGGCTTTTGTTTTTCGTGTAGGGTCATCAGGGCGGAAGTTCTTGTATTCTTCCACCTCTTTTTCCAGAGACAGCAGCTGGCTCTGGAGTTTGCTACGCAGGGATGGCAGAGACTCTCGGATATGGTTTGTTAATTGCTGAGGGGAGGAGAAGACAAAGTTACAATTGTTTTACATCAGCACTGCAAGCAGCATTGTTTACTGCCAAGGCTCTATTACTGCCATTCTCCCTTTTAGGATTATCACTCTCCAGGTTTTGTCAGTCTCTTTTGCTAACAAACAGGAGAGAGTTGTGGTGTGATGGATCCCTCACTTTCTTCTAAAAGACTGGGATAGGCCTCAAGGTACTGTTCGAGGTGTTTACAGCACCGAGAACCCATTTAACCCTTTCTCTCCCCAGTGAGACTCCAGTCCTCCAGAGCTCACCTTACCCTCTTTCTAGCATCAAAATCCTTTCCCCTTTGTGCTCCTTGCTGCTGAGGATGACAAAGACAGAAGATTACGTTTCTGTTTCCAGCACAGCCCCTTAACCCATTTCAAAGCAGGCACTGCCTTATGCAACACATAGCCCCACATATCAAAGATGAATACTTCAGCTCACTTACTTAAGGCTAGTAATATGCCTGGTACTGAGATTCAGTAAATTTCTCCCCAGAACATCTGGATCAGCTTTAAACTCTTGGCACACTATAAGTTTTTTTTGTGAAAATGGAGATAGAAAAATATTTGGATTGAGAGATGAGTGTCATCTTCCTCTCCAGTGCAGTAGCAGGAAGTCATCATGCAGTGATTTTTCATCTGAAAATAAGCTATTTAAAAGGAGCCAAGCAAAAAAGTTAAACTGCTGCTGGAACAGCTTACCTGATTGAGGACCTTCTGCAAGTGTGGGGTTCCCATGCGGTCTGCCATGTGTCTGTAAGCAGGATGGGAAAGGAAAAACTTGCGCTCAGCTGCCAGTGCTGCTCGGATGTCTTTCTTACCATCAATATCCTTCTGGCTTCGGTTCACGACTCCAATGTAACCTATGAATGGACAGTGCCAAATGTTAGTTCCTGTCTTACAGTATGCACCAAAACCCAGTGCTAATTCTGAAAAGAAAGTAAGATCATGACAGTGCAACAAATGCAAGATGGCAAGTAATTGTGATGTTACAGCAGAGTAGGGAACACTTGCTTCTGTCAGAGAAGCCTGATAATGCACACTTTAAAAATCAGGAAGACACTACCCTTCTTGAAAATACATGCACACAGGTGGGAAGCTCAATAGGCAAGTGCTGGGATTCCTTCACTCAACCCAGATTCTTCCCATTGGTCCTGGCCTCTCACCCTAGAGAAAAAGGGGGGGAAAGGAGACAGGAAAGTTGGGTAGGAATATATATATAGGAATATATATAAATATATATATTTATATATATATAAAAAGAGAACCTCAGTCCTATGTGCATATGTGTGCACACGCACGTGTGTGTGTCTGGACAGAGTGAAAAGTGGGATTAGTAAAGAGAAAAAGGCACTCAGATACGAGATAGTGAGAGAAAAAAGCAATAGTGTGCTTAGTGAAAAAAGCAGAGCGAGAATGGAGGATTCTCAGCCTATGCAATGATGGTTGAAAAGGAACTAAGGGACTGGGTGGGATCTCCCCCCCCCCCCCCATATACACAGAAACCGGAAGGGGAGGAGCTCCCGCCTTCTCTGGCACTCTGAGTTATTGAAGATTTTTTCCCAGACTAGGCTTTACACAGGCACAGATGCCCATGTGTATGATACACAGACACCATAAAGAAGAATGCAAGACTTCATGGCATCAGCAACAAAGAATGTATACCTAGGTGCTTAGCTTCCCTAGACCTGGCTTTGCTTTTCTGGGAATTCAAAAAAACAAACAAACAAACAAAAACCTCACATCCATGGCTGGGACACCAGAGCATCATAGTTGGGGAAAAAAGTAATTAAACCATCTACTGCATTCAAGCTTGCTTAGAAAGTACACATTTTGTTCAGGACTATGAATTAAACCGGTGCCACAAGGATAACTTTGTTCAATGGAATATCTTTCAGCTATAAGTTTTAATAGCTTTCTACCTCGCCGCAGAGGCAACAGTTTGTTCTCCAGGATATCTCTAGCATCAGTGCCTTCATCCATCAGGTCCAGCTTGGTTATCACCCCAATTGTCCGTAGGCCTAAGAAACAGAACTGCTGATCAGAAGCTGGCACAGATACACGAATAACCAATTATAGAAGTTCTCAGGAACTATTTTGTACTGTTATTCCCAAGATAATTTCTCTTCAACAAAACAGCACCACCACCACATGGTACATAGTTCAGTGATAGTGCAGTATACTAAATGAAAATATGCTTAATTAAATTAGTTTGTATATTTCCCCAAGCAAAGGGCGGTGGAGAGGCTGAACACAGGCACCAAGAGAACATACATAGCAGGTCTTCAAGGAACCAAGTATGTAGCTAAGCACAGGTTTGTGCTATCTGAATAGTATTTTCCCCTTTTGCTTGTTGTTTGCCACTGGTTTTCTGCTTTACACACTTTATTGCTTTGAGAAACTGATTTGTCTCTTTAATCTCTTTATTGTTGTGTACTCAGAATCAGACCAAGTCATTTCCCATTCTGTCTTTTTTCTGAATCCTTAATATATATTTAATCCTAATTTCACCAAAACCCAGACTATATGCTTTGTCAAGGAAAGTGGGGAGGGTCACAAGAGGCACACTGAATTTTGGGGTCCTGGGATGCATGCAACATGTGGAGTACAGTCTGCAATCTCCCAAGGACACAAGTGACTACAAAGATGTTCAGCATAAAGGATCCCAGTGGAATTCTTGGCCAATCACCTCCAAGGGACCAAAGCTTCTCAAGATTGTTAGACAGGTGGGTTTTTTTACCTATTTTCTAGAGCTTTTTTGAATAAGAAGTTGGTGCCACACTTAGTACCATATGCATTATTTCATTTTGTTAGAATTAACTTTATGAGTTCTTCCGTAACATATTTCTGTTCCCAAAACCCACTAGAATAATTCCTTTAAAGGTTAGGATTTTAGCAAACTGAGGCTTCTGAAGGAGGACTGTTGAATTCTTAACACTGACCCATGTTACACGGGAGGAGTGAGAGCTTCCTACTGTCAGGTGAACAACTCAGAGTGATATTGTGGAGTCCCACCCAAACCTGTCATGAACTATATGCATTATCAACAGAGGAGGTGAAAAGAAAAAAATGAAGTATTACTTTACCTTGTGGATCAACTTCTTTAGCCATTTTGAGAGCATCTGAATTGGCCAAATCCATGTTTGCTGGAGTTACAGCAAGGATCAAGCTGCTCTCTCTGCTAATGAACTGCAAAATCATATCTCTGATCTGATACTCAATGTCCTGTGGTTGGTCACCCACTGGCACCTTAGTTATACCCGGAAGGTCAATCAAAGTCAGATTCAACACTGCAAAGAAAATGAGCAAAGAAAAAGAATCTCTCTGTTAAAAGGTCAAGACTGTCATCGACTCTGGACTTGAGGGAGTTTTGCATAGCTCTTCCACAGAAGAAAGAAGGGAAGACACTGCCCAGAGAAATCTGGCTGGGACTACTGAATGTGGTTTTATAAATCAAATGAACAAACAAATAAAAACTCCCAGCCCTTAAAGAGATCAAACCTATCTACTTTAATAACTGGTGTTTTTTTAATACAGAATTACTGAAGCCTTAAAGATAAGCATTTCAAATTATAATCCATCTTCAAATTAATCTAAATGCTCTCACTTTCTAATTATGAATTCACAAAGCCACAGGCATAACCACACTGTTTCTGAACAATTATAAGAGGTTGCCACATCATCGTAAAGCAACTGACAACTTCCCAGAGTATACCGATTTAGCTATACCAATTCTTGCTGTAAGTTGTAATGTTCCTTTTTAATGGTATTCCCAACTTCATGAAGTTTCAGTAATCCTATAGCCCTAAAATATACAGCCCAAATATTGTCCATCTTTAAGGAGGCATAAAACCATACCTACCATGTGGCGAATACACCCTGAGGTTGATGGGAACTGGAGAGATGCCTTTGTTTGTTCCTGTGACCCTGTCTGTTTCTGCTTCAATCTCTTGCCGTACTTCATCAAAATCTGTAAACTTCTTGGACTTGCAGTGCAAAAATTCTGCATACTCTGAAAGAGAGGAGAAATATTCTGTCAAAGTGAGATGCACAACTCTGAAAAAAAAATTGTGACCTCATTTAGCTGTACACAATTCTCTGTCTATCCTTACATAATTTTAGGGACATGTGGCAAGCTCATTAATTTTAATTTTTTGAGGTGAAAATTATGCAGGAAGAAGAACGAAGCAGAAAGGAATATCTCCAGATTATGAAAATGTTCAACTTCAAGTCTGACTGCTCACCGTGCTGGGTCACTGCTGTGGTGCCATGAAAGGTTGTTCCTCTGAACAATAGTCACATGGGTGACTCCAAGTTAGATATCAAATACAACAGTTTCACAAATCAATGCAGCCAGATTTGGATATGTAATAATGTAACAAAACCATTCGAGAGCCAGAACACTAAAGACATTCAAAAAGAAGCTGGACAGCCATCTGAGTGGGATGATGTAAACTGGTGTCCTGCAACAGCAGGGGGTTGGACCCAATGGCTTTCATGGCCCCTTCCAACTCTGCTATTCTGTGATTCTATTATTCTAAGAACAATGCTCCCTGGAGCAGCATTGTGCTTCATGTGAGGACTGCCATCCCCTTCAAGCTTCTGAAAAATCTAGGAAAGAAGGTATATGCTTTTTGGAAGTATCAGAAGTTCTCACAAAATATAACTCTCAATTTCAGCTCAGCCTAACTTTTTTCTTCTCACAACTAGCCGTGCAGAAGAACTGAAGGAACAGGTGGAAACCCACTAAAGACTCGTCAAGATCTGGGCAGCTTAAGGGCTCCATCTGCTGGCCTAACACCAGAATAATGACTCTGGTAGTTGCAAGATTGCTCCCAGACTCTGCTACAGCTGCCACAGCCTTGATGAGCAACACCTGGAAACCCTGGGTCAAGAGGTATTTAAGAGCTGGCTAGTTCCACAGCTCACTCTTAGTTCTGACCCTGGCCTGTTTGGGATTATGATGGAGACTTCCTATCTGATTAGCTATTGGACTCTGGACTTGTATCACCTTGACCACTGTTGCTTGGATGCTGGTATATCTGTCTAATCACCTGCTGCCCACACCCCAAATGCTTACACATGTGTGGAAGGGCTTCTTGCCTAAATTCTTCAGCTACAGAAGTTTTCTAAAACATGTGTGCAATTCACTGAGACCATGAAGGAGGAGGACAGAAGTCTCAGTGCTGATCTTTTAAAAACCTCGATGCTGGATGGACAGTAAGAGATCAACAGAAGCATACCTCTAAAGAACAGGTGGCAGTATAGAATAGCACTTATTCTGAAGCCTACCATGCTAAGAACTGTGCCTATCTTGGTTACTGCTCCTTTTCAACATATAAAACATAGTCACTGTGGTTACACAGAACTTGAGAAGAGGATTTAAAAACAACATTTTGTCTGGGTTTTGGCAGTCACCCAACATTTCTTATGGCTAGTAAAATTCGCCTTTCTTGCTTCCTGCTACACAAAGTGTATGCCTTTTGTACCTTGCTCAGCAAACGGAGGAACAGTATATAAAGTATTTATACTAACTCTATGCCGTAACACTGATTTTCGAATGCATGTTCTACCTTCCCTCCATGGATTTTTAACAATGTAAAATGTTGCTTCAGTATTTCCTCTAAACCTTCATATTGGAATTCAACTTCTAGAGTTGTTAGCTATACAAACTCATCCTGCATATAATTCAGGATTTCTTCAAAAGTCATTACAGCTAGTGGTGAAGTGGTAATCCATGCTGGTCCAGCCCCACAGCCTCTCAGGGACGAAGCTACCATCCTTCTTTGATGCTGGCCACATGGAATCATGCTTGTTACTATGGTAGAGTCTAACAGGGACCCTTTGTTAGTTGTCAGAATTAAAGTTTCTAGTCACCGCTGGCAAGTATAATTGTGACCTCCAGTAAAATGCAACTTCCTCTGCATCCTGTTTGATGAAAGTGCTAACATGTCAAAGAGTCTGAAGTAGCAGAAGCCTCCTGGAGCTATAAGCATAACAAAGGAAGAAACATAATATCAGTGGCTCTGCTGGGGCAGAGGACAGGGTCATCAAAGGCAGAACCAAGGGGTCATCAGAGGCAGTGTAGCCTATACCACAAAGTATATCTTAACATCATGAATGCAAAGCAGGCTGGAGGGAATTCACATAAGTATGCATTTGGACCCCCATATTCCTCTTCCTGCAACAACCTCCTCTGTACAAATAATCGCTGTAAGATCATAAGTATAAAAAGAAGGGGTTGGAATAAACTATTTTTAACCCAGCTTCACAGCCAGAAAAGGTTTCCAGTAAAGCTTTCAATCAGGACAGACAGACAGAAAAGACAAATCTAAAAATGGTGTTGCACAGAAGGAAAAAGAAGTGAGAAGGAAGGAAACAAAGTTATTTAGAACATCAGCAGGGCTTTTACCAAGGCCCTGCTTTCCCTAACTTCCAGCTGCAGGGCCCAGATGTCATTTTTCCCTGCTCCTAGCTCCCTCTCTTCTTTTCCACAAGGCAGTTAAAGTTAGTTGGCCTGGGGTGGCCTGGGGTGGCCTGGGATGGGGGGAGTAATCCAAATGGACCTGGCCTGTTCTTGGCACATCTTTGCTTCCCACCAAGCCACACATAATAATAATGGCAGTAGTAGTAATAGCAGTATCTTTGGAGACACACAGAAGCAATCTTTAGCCCTTTTGGATCCAAGATCCACACCTTTCTATGTCCTCTGTAAAGCATGTCCTAGATGCAGAATATCTCTACTCAAATGTTAACAGTAAGAAAGAATAAAAAAATCTAGCTCATACATGCCTACTCAGAAGGAAGGAAAAAGTTAGTCAGGAAAGATGGTGAGGAATTTGAGAGAGCATTCAGAACCTTCCCTTTTACTATCTTATGCATCATCAACACAGCCAAAAGCATTTCTTTGGAACCATATTCTCTTGTTCTTCCAGCAAATGACTGTAAGCTCAAAAGTACAAAATGGAGTGGGGCCAATTTATTACAAGTTGAAATCTACTTACCCCATCCTCACCATAGTGACACACACAGAGAGAGATCATTGCTAACCTACTTTTACCTCCATTGCAACAGAAACTACTAGCAGGTTTTTCAAAACGTAAACCCCAACCAAAACTAGATTGTTACAGTTTTACCAGTAATGCAATTGTCAACAATATTTTTTGCAAGCAAAACACTAAAAGAACAATAGTTGCCAGCTCAAACAACTACAAACAGTTAAAAAAGGAAAGAAAACTGTGCAAGCATCAAATTAAAAAAAAAACAGCCAAAAAAGAGAGAGACAAAGCACAAAGAAAACAGATTAAGTATGAAACCCTACACACAATTATTTAGTGAACCCCAATGAACTCTATGAATTGTTACCTTCTTTTTAAGTCTGGATTCTCTTGCAGGCAGGCATGTTACGCACATGTGTACACACACACACACACACACACACACACACACAGAGTTAAATAGAATACTTTGCTCTCTTCCCCTCTCCTTTTCCTTCTTTGAATCAGAACTCAAAAAAGGCCAGTGAAGGCTGCCAGTCATGCAACCAGGGCTCCATGAATGTTCATAGAGTTCCTCTTGGCTCAGCCCATTTTGCAGGGCTGGGCCGGGCCTAAGAGGGAGTCCACAGATTCTAGAGGGATGGATTCTGAAAGAGTTTGTCCAAAGCCCACTGCTGTGAATCTATTGAACAAGAGGGTGTGAAAAACAGAAAAAAAACTGAAACTGGAACACAGAAGGCTGAAACAGAAGCCAGGTATACTCAAAATGGAAGAATACTTAGGCTTCTCTGAAAGAGAGAATAAGGAAAGTGTAATATATAGTTTATGCATGAATGTAAGATTTTTATGGAATATGGATACTGTTGTTGCATAAGAGGCAACCATGGCAGCAAAGACAGAAAACACTTTCCATTTCCTCCAAGCTGCTTCCAAAACTTCTTGGATTGGAAGAGAGCAAGAGAGTCAAACTAGGGAGTACAGCTGAAGCCTCCAAGCCGCTATCCTGAAAGACTTGAGGTCAGGGTGATGAGTCCATTGTGTTGCAAGAGGAGCAACAGGATCAACAGTGACTGGTAGTACTTCCACTGCACCTGAGAAGAAGGGGAGCAAACTGTGCCTGACATGGCCACCTAGAGGTCAAGAGGATATAATTGGCACTGTAAGCTTGAATTTTTGCCATTGCTTTCATGATGAGAAATCGGTGGGAATGCATAGAAGAGACAGAGTAGAAGGAAGTCATGCCCCAGAGATTGCCACCCTGACCTAGTGTGCTACAGAAAAGCGGACACACCTTTTGTGACTCACAGTAGACAAATATATGTCCAGGGTCAATGTCCCTCTGAAAAATGGATTGCAGAATGGTATGGTACAGTTTCCACTTGCAGGAAAGACATCCTGTTGGGAATATCTGCCAGGGTGTTGTTGGTCCCCATGATTTGGGTTGCAGACAGAATGGTTTTGCAAGGAACTGATCATTCCAGAATCTGAACAGGCAGTCTGAGCAGGTGCAATTAATGTATTCCTCCTTGTCTGCGCAGACAGTGGACTGCAGTGATATTGTCTGAGGGTATGCTGTGACCTAAGAGAGTAGCTTCAAAGGCATTCAAAGCAAAAAGCTCCAGAATGCTGATGTGTTAAGAGGCTTCTTTCCAGGTGTCTTGCCAGTGTCCTACAATGTGCCCCCCAACTTCAGAGAGATGGGTCAGTCCTGAGAATCAAGAAGAGAGGTGAAAGAAAAAACAGAAAACTTTGCTGAATACTAGGGGTCTGGGCCCACCAGTGCAGGGAACAAGCTCCTTCTAGAGGCAGTTAAAGGTACATTCAGAGTGTGTCTACTGTTCTGATAAAATCCCAAAGGAACCAATTCTGGAACCACCTTAGCATGCTGTCAGGATGTGGAGGGGCTCACTCATCTTCCCATGGCAGCCACTGGAGAGTGGCCAGAGACAATGAGGCATGGCCAGGAATCTGCCTAGGAAGAATCTGCATGGGACTCCATTTGCAGGGATGCACA